GGTGCTTTTATGCCCTGACCCCCACAGCTGTTTAGGAGACGACATCATCCACTGCCTGTTCTTGATGTGGAGGCCCCTTTTCCTCTGGGTTGAATTTAAAGACTGCATTGCAGAAGGGGCCGTTCCCTGGGCGCACCCCACAGGGCTCTTGCCCATGACCTTGCTACTTTAGATAGATCTTTCTATTTCTTGCCAAGCAACATAAATTTGAATGATGGCTGGAAAACATCATTCTTACATAAAAATACACACACACACACACACACTTGTTCTTTAGAATTCTAAAAATAAATGCTCAAATAAGTTGCCATACATTCTAAAATGGTGATATGGAAATACCAATAGAACAAGATAGAGACGTAGAGCTAAAGAAGGGATAGACTGCCAATCGGTTAGCCGCCGTTTGCCGAGATTCACTGTGTGCTCAGCACTGTGCCACACGTGAATAACGGGCCTTCAGTCTCATTAGGGAGATGTTTTTCAAAAAGGCAGAGCCCAGTAGAGGCATCTATGCCTCTGGGCATGGCTGAGGTAGCTGCTCTCCTTCTCTATTCCTGCAGGAATTAGCTCACTGTATAACTGGCGACTTCTTAATACACTTGCCTTCTTGCATCTAGACAGTAAACACTACTAGGACAGGGCCAGATCTTTCAACATTTTAGCTTTAGTCATAGTGCTTGGCCCATAGTAGATGTTAAATAAGAATTTAAAGAGTAAATGCATGAGGTAGAAAAATTGTTGATCTAGATCATAAATGATAAAGAATTTGAAAAGCAAGGGGATCACGAGGAGGCTGGAGCAGACAAGGAAAGCAACATGGAGGAGATGAGACTGGAGACTTGGTCGTAATGAACGGTGCGAGGGGCCAAAAAAAGAAAAGTCATAGACCAAAGAGCTGAGGATGTGGTGTGGGGAAATGCAGCCATATCTCAAATAACACTTGTAGTGAATGACTCAACTGCTCAAACAAGGACTGGGGGAGCTGAGTGTGTACAAGAGGTATTGATGCCTTACCTAAAAGAGAGGTAAAGCAACTAGGCGGGACTCCAGCCAGCTGCTGAGGATGCCATTGCCAAGTGCAAGGTGATTTTGTGGAAAGGGTGTCCTCAGACAGAATACAAATATTTATAGAGCTTCAGTAAATAGCATGAACACAGGGGCCTGACTTAGACTTCTGGGGGAGGATCTCACCTTGGAAGGTGTGCTCACACCTAAACTAAGGGTGGGAAGAAAAGCAATGTGTTCAGTCAGGCAACTTAAAGACAGAAAGAGTCAAGGCCTCAGAGGCAGGCATCCTGTTCTGCTACTTTGGCAAATCCCATAGCCTACACGTGTTCCCGTTAGGATAATTCCCGGAGGTGGTATTTCCTTTATTTATTCTCTAGCAACAACCATTTGTGAAGTACCGCTTAGCTTTAAATGGAACTAAAATATCCTTTTTAAATTACCTAATTTAAAACATTCACTGGACTTGAAACTTTTTAAAATATTTAAAGTGATAACTTGCTATGTCCCAGTCCCAGGGGCTAACCACCAATAAGAGCACCAAAAGGTAAATGACTGTAGAAATAATCATTTCAGGGTGGGTTGGAAGAGTTGTGTCATTTATACGGTGGTTCCGTAACAGAACACTGACTGGCACATCACTGGTAGTCAATAAGATGTCTGTTGAAAGGCCTTAACTGGTGTGGCTCAGTGGGTTGGGTGTTGTCCTGCAGATTGAAATGTCACCAGTCCAGGCATTTGCTGGTTGGGGCACATGCCTGGGGTGCGCGGGCTAGGTGCCTGGTTGGGGGCATGCCAGAAGTAAGCAATCAACGATTCCCGTCCATGTTTCTCTCCCTTTCCTTCTCCCTCCCTTCCCCTCTCTCTAAACATTCATAAACACAATCTTTAAAAATTATGTTTGTTGAAAGAATAAATGCAGGCAGGGTCCTTGACTTATAGCTATATACTGAGACCAGTGTCTGAGCACATAAAAATTATATTTTGGTGGAATAACTTATAACTAGTTACACGTGTTTATTTCTTCTGCAACCCTGATCTTGAGATCACACACAAACTTGATGTGTGGATCCCGCATTAAAACCTCAGCAGTTCCTTAAGGGACCAGGATTTGGTTCCAAGACAATGTAGCACAACTTTTCTACTAGAATGCAAGCTCCTCAGGACAGAACTTTGACTTAGTTGTTCCTTAATATTTTCAATAAAAATACATTAAATAAATGAATGCTCATTTTCCACCGCCTGTTCTAAAAAAAAAGTGCAAGGAAAAGCCAAGTTCCTCTGCTGTAATAACAAATGTATCTTCAGACCTTTTTAGCTCATTTCCGGCCGGTGAGAAAATGGTACCATGTGAGGAAAACATCCATGCGACTGAGCCTGCACCTCTGATTAATTTTTAATCCAACTTTTATGAGTTTTCTCAGTGTTAACCACAATCCAAGTGGGGGTGTATAAATTTAAAACAAAACAAAATGAAAAGATTGTCTTTCAGGGATGAAAAATAAATGTAATCCGAAATCAATATTTATGAAGTTGTGATTAATTGACTGATGACCAAATGATTACAAAACGTCTGTCTAAACAACTACTCAAATTTATTAGCTTTGATCAAAAAAATTAAAAAACAATCTGAACTGGGTCAATGAAAGAATAATGCATTCCTAATCAATTTTTAATAGCACTTAGGATTTTATATTTTTTTAAACTTGCTTTTAAATAATTTATCATAAAAATGATTCTGATTTAAACAAGGGGTAAAAGGTGTTCCATAGCTATGTGATGGTTTTCTTAGAAAAGAAATTCAATTATGACTGACTTTTTATTACTGAATTACTTTATTAATAATAATACATCTTGCACTTAACACAAAGGCAGTGGGCCAACAATTCCAGAGTGTCCAAGACAGACCTAGGGTGTAGCTCCAATGTGACTGCTACCTAGTGGTTTACCTTATCTGTGCCTCAACTTCCTCATCTGTGATAGGAAAGACCTCCATGAAAAACCCCAGGATCATTTCTCGTTCTAGAAGTTTACGATTCTAAGGACTTAGGAGGTTTAGCCTGTCCCCTGTGTGGTGTCTGATAGAACTCCTCAGGTCACAGGTCACCCTAGGCTGCTAAGGCTTTGAGAAAGTGACAAGCAGAAAGTCAATGAGACATAATCTTTGTTTTCCTGTTAAAGTAATGGCAACATTATTTAACAATTTTGGCCAAATAATGACTATTTATAACATTATTTGTTAAAAAAAAAGGGGGGATCCTCTTCATAGAGCAGAGGGAAGACATAATTCCTGGCCCTCAACCATCTGCATTATTAAAAGCAAAGCCTGGGAATTGGCCTGGAATCAATCTGGACCTGGATGGAGTCCTAATCATCTGGTATTGCTAACAATATTATTTAGATGTGGGTGTATGTATGTGCACTCACCCACAAAGCACTAGTAAGCAACAGATATATGATACTATTGTGCTTATGCATACAGTAACATATGAATTAAAATGTTTGTAAGGGTATGCTCTGGAATATTAATAGTGACTACCACACAGAATGGAGAGGAGAGGCATGAGTGTAGAGGAACTTCTACTTATTATTTTATACATGATTGGGTGGCTTAATTTTCATAAGGTGAGTCTTATTATTTTTATACTTAGCAAAAAGAAATAGTCTTCCATTCTGAAGTGAAAAACAAGGAAAGGCAATATTTAAAAGAGCCTGGGCCTATTAAAGAAAAGTAGTTTGTAGCTAAAGGAAATGTGGTCTGTGAAATAGTCACTTGATACAAGATACTAGATAAATCAGATACAATCCCTGACCTCAAGAAACAGAAAGTTTGTTGTGGGGGCAAACACATCAACAACCCACTATAATGCAATGTGATCGGCGCACAGAAACAGACATATAGACAGAGTGTTAAACATACTGAGAAGCTGTAACCATGATAGTAAATGTGGAAAGAGATGTTGGAAACACTCTAGAGTTGTCACATTCTACCTAAAATGTAGGTTGTGTTTTTTAAAGTTTATCTTTGTGACTGAGGTGTTAAACACCAATCACCAGGATGATGAGCAAGAAATGAACTAGTCCCAGCACCAATGAAAAGGTCTTTTTTTAAAAAAATGTCTTGGACACATCTTTTTGCCACACTGTTTCCAGGGATGGATGCCAGAGGCAGAACATTCTCAGTCCTACATCCCACTCAGAGAATGGGAATGACAGGTCCTGAAATACCCCCTTAGGTGTCAGAAAGGTGAGGACAGGGAATGGGCAGGATGAGAATGTAGCAGAACACAACAGTAGGGGGAAAGGAACACAGTAAGAGGGTGAAGCTTTAATGGCCTTGGGTAATGACCTGAAGCTTTCTCACTCTGAAGCCTGAGGTCTGAAGCCAGCAATGTGAAGATGCATTAGTAAGCATGTCCCCATATGAATGTGACTTCATATGAATGTGACTTCAAACGGCCAGGAAATAGCCAAATGACTTTCATGCAGGAACTGTGAAAAAGTGACTATTACACAATCGATATGACGATTTTGTCCAGTTCTCTAATTCCAAGCATGTGATAGACTCCAATGAAGTTCCTGAGCTGGTTGGAAGAATTCTCACTGTCACCCATGAGCATGTTCTGAACTGGACTTGGGCTTCTTCAAGTGAACTACTAGCTGCTCCAGTATCATTACTGTCTGTTCCTTTTATAGATGTGATAGTAGGCATACACTGACATCATTTAATACACACACACACATTTTACCAATGAGGAAGCTAAGATGCAGAGGTTAAATAAATCCTCTGAAGCCAAGAGAACCAAGAAATTGTCCCCACAAGGATTTTCACCCTCTCTTTTAACCATGAAACGGCTGCTTGTGACTTACACTGCATCTTTCCCCGAAAGATTAGTAAATGTAATTCCATTGGTCCTTGGAAATTTCCTTCCTCATTGATTCAATTTGCAGAAATTTATCACCTCGGCTCTTCCTCCCTCGAAGTTGCAGTTCAGTTTCAAATGTGTTATACTCAAGATTCATTTAGGAACTTGCGGAGTTTTTCCCTTTCGTCTGAAGGAAATGGAGACATAACCTCCCAGCATTCTCCTCCGGAGTTCAACAGCACTGGCACACATTGCATCTCCAACCGCGCACCTGACTGAAGTCTTGGAAACGCTTCGAACTCCAGTGCGCTGGGGGAGCGAGGGCGGTTCGCCCTCTTCGCAGCTTTCTCACCTGTGGATGGAAATAAGCGTCTGTGTCTCAGACCCTTAAACCTCCTTTTAGGTAGAAACCCCACGAGGGCCAGCAGTGAAAGCGCGTCTTCCAGGAAAGCTGAGATTAAATATATCGCAACGTTTCAGAAACAGAGACGGTGGCAGTTTGCTGTATTTAAGTTACGTTGCACCATTTACGAGCACGGAGAGAGCTGAGAGTGGCAGAAAGTCGTTTTGAAAAATTCAAATGGAGAGATCTTTTCCTGTTTTGCCTGCACCGCCTGCTCACTGACTTGAGTAAGGCTTTATCTTTTAACAGAAAACTCTCCCCCACCCCACCATTCGGGAAAGAATAGGGGATTTATAATGGCCTTTTCTTATTTCTTCTACTCTCACCACTATTACTTTTTCATTTAAACTTTCAAGATCCTTGATCCCTGGGGGATCGAGGGGGCAGTAAACTGCCTTCCCCTCCATTCTCACAAATCTTGAAGCTTCAAGCTTCCGAACAGGGGGGAGGTTTTGTTTTTGTTGTTGTTTTAAGTGGAAGGGAAGGCAGAGACACGCGTCTCCCAAGCGCGTTTCCGTTTCCCGTCGCGGCGGGCCGTGGCCCTGCCGGGCCGCCGTAGCCGGCCGCGCACCGCCCCGGCCGCGGCGAGGCGGTGCGGGCGGCGGGACTTCCGTGTTGGCGGGATTCTGAACGCTGCGATGGCTCACACCGTGCAGAACGTTACATTGTCGCTCACGCTGCCCATCACGTGCCACATTTGCTTGGGGAAGGTAATGGGTGATTCCGGGCACAGCAGCTGAACGGGATCGGGTGTCGCTCGCCGGAGTCCAGGGCGGTCTCCGAGTGTAGCGGCGAGACGGGTGAAGACGCCAACCTGTGCTCTCCGGCGTTGGGAGGCTGCGTCCTGGGGGACCGAGGGAGCGCACGGTGATTGATGGGTTCATCCGTGCTCCTTTCGGAGGGGGTGACGGCGGCCTGGGGTCTGAAGGAAGGGCGGCCCTGCCACTCCGGCGGCCTCACCCGGCCGAGGCCGGCGTGGACGGGGGCTTGGTCGTTAAAGCACCGCAGTAACGTTGTACGCCCCCTTGCAGCCCCGTATCGCGCGTGGTGAAGTCAACGAAAGCACATTTCCTGGAGACCACGCTTGAGATTCTTTCGTCCCCTGCACAGCTAGACTGTTCGTGTTCGCGGCCCTGTAGTGCTTTTCCACTTCCAAGATCATTCTCCTTTGCCTTGAGTTCCTTTTGCTCTAGGTTCAGCATTAGAAAAGCAAAAAGCACGTGCCGCCGAATGGTGTTTAGAGTGAGAGATACGGCCTTTAATTCGGAGAATAGATCTGTCACGAGATAGAATCCCCTCTCTTTGTGATGCAAGAGGTGCTTAAAGCCTGAAATGAGGTGGAGAAAGTAGTTCTGCCTTCGACCTTGGCCAAAAGGCCGAGAAGCGATAGAAAAAGCAGCTCTGAATTCGATCTGGAATTTTAAATATTCTGATGCATTCGTCTCCACTTTTCCGTTTGTGGCTCTCATTCGGTTTTTATGATAGCATTTCTTCGCCGTGTAGATCCAGAAGAGAGAAGATACTGTGAACAATTAATCCCCCCCCCCCCCAGTCTGAACTGTTGTCACCTTTGTGGAGTGTGTGTTCACCTCCAGATTCAGGCTGCATCTACAGCCACAGGTTTAGATATATGAAATATAAACTTCATAGAGCAAGTATTTGTGTGCCGGCCAATGTGATCAACTGCATTAGGTGTTTGGGGGTCTGTGTGAATTTACTAAATTCAGGAAATAGTAGGAAGTCAGACTTGGGAGCAGTTAATAACTCCGGATGCTAATCAGTGAGATGCCAACAAAGTAGCAAATATGCTGTGAGAACAGACAGGTGGGGGGTGGCTTGATCACTTCCGACTGGAGAGATGAAGGATGCTGTCATGGAAGGTGGTACTTGAACTGGCGTTGCTACCACTGTCCAGTAGGTGGCTGGGGGGAGGAGGAGGTGATATTTTGTTTGATACAGTCTACATTTGGCCCTTAACATGGAATCCCCACTAGGATGTGTTAAATTCTGAGTGAATTTCCTCCAACAGTAGCCTTAAGGGCTGATAAAAAGGATCCTTGGAAAATAATTTTTAATTGCCCTTAACTGTATAGTTGTATCTACTTTCCATTAGTTAATAGGCTATTATTTGCAATTGTGTTGAAAATGTGTTCTGTCTTGTTGATTTTTCATACCTATGTTTTTTTGTGTGCTAAAACTTAGTCCTAATATACTGACTTGAAGATTACAGGATGCTTTTGTATGTGTTTAATTACTCCATTTACACATCTCACCAGGGCTATGACATGGAGTGGACAGGTTTCCCCATTTTTTAAACAAGAAAACTAAGGCTTAGACTCTTTGGTGTTTGAACCTCTATTGCTGCCACTTGTCTTGAGTACCTTCTTAAAAATTCACTTTAGCTCAGTCAGGATGGAAGACACTTGGTATCTCTTTTATTTCCCTGTATTAGTTAAGCTTTATTCTAAAATGATATCTGATAATAAAAGATTAACAATTTGTAAATAGGCATTTGTTTCTGTCTTATGGAAGCAGAAAAGCATGGCAATTTTAGGCCTGAGTTCTCTGTTCAGACTGCATGAGTTCCAATCTAGGCCGTTCTACTTACTAGTTATATGACCTTATATAGGACAAGTTACTTAATCTCTTTCAGAGCAGTTACCTATAAAATGGGAATGATAATAGTTTCAACACCCATCCTCGTGGTTATCAGAGGGTTAAATACAGCAGTACGAGTGCCGTGCTTAGCCTAAAATCTGGCACATAACACTATTCAATAAATGTTACTCTCCACTGTGGGCACGGAGGCAGGTCATCAGACTGAGGAAACCAGCCTTTTCTCGTGACTGTTCTTCCCAGGTGCTTTGCGAGGCCAGTGCACTCACTAGATGAAGATTTGCATTCCCAGCAGAGTGGGACCTGATTGTTCTGGAAATTGCCACAGTTTGTAGGGGTTTTCAGGGGGTTTTAACTGGGTCCTTTTGCATAGCTGAAACACGTCTCATCTGCTTCTGCTCCTCTCTGCCCCACGCACCTCCATGTATGGGGTTCTGGAGATGATGTGGCCTGCAGTAGCACCATGTTCCCAGTGCCACTTCGCCTTCCCTGACACAGCGTGTCCACTGCCTCTGAGATCTGCCTTCAGGTGCCTCCTCCAGATCATCATTCTTGTGCTGCCTTTACCATTTGTCCCAAAGTCTTGCCATTGGCAATCTTCTCTTTTAATTGTTCCACAGATTGAAGGGGCCATTATTTCTAGAGTGTCACTGGGTGGGGGGGAAAGGTACATACATAGTACTTTAAAGGAGATGGGGGCGTGGTAGACCTTAAATGTGAAGAAATAATGTAGATGCTGATTGGGAAGAGGGGGCAGGGAAGAATGGGAGGAAAGTAGTGAGGATAGTCTAAGTGTGCGTGCAGATGGTTAATCCTTTGTCTTTTGAATACAAATGTAGTATTCAAAATAGGAAAGTTTAGACAACTTGCACTTCCTAACTGTGTCTGCCTCAGTTTTAAAGGTGGATTCTCTGGGCTCCAAATGTTTAGTAGCCTCGCCAATGTTCTAAGCTCTCTGTGTGGCCTGTAGAAATTAAGTGCACAGCCTGTGGGATGACTCATGTATAACATTTCTCTTGCCTATTTCTCCTTAATTTTGTTCTCATATGTTGAGAAAAACATATAAGAACATTTGTGTTCTCATAGCGGGGCTAGCAGAAATATAGGAGTGATCTGGCCCAAAATATCTCCAGTGACATTTTGGTGCTGCCACTAGAATGCTATAGACCAGTTTAATCTCAGATAATTCCAAATATTTATCTCTTCAATTAAGATTCCAGCTGGGAAACCAAATTGTTGTTGCATGTAGTACTTTTCTGGCCATCTCTCTGTTTTGCCATGAGTGACAGCTAAATGTGACCCACAGTCAGTGTTATTAAAATAGGAAAAGTTACAGATTTAGAGGGTTAATCATCTTGCACCTAGGGCTGCTCCCCACACACAAGCCCATTCCAGTGGGAGAGCCCACTTTCATATCTTGCTGTATTTTCTCCTCCTCCTCCTCATAGCCTCAGGGGCATTGCCCTAAGACATCCCTTCAACATGCGTACTCCACACGAGTTTGGAATTGCACATGTCACTTACCCTTGCCATCTTGCATTTTTTATTTCGTAAGAGTACTGTTTTATTGGCAGAGATCTCATCTGAGATTAAATTAGATACAGAATCTAATAACAGGCAAATTATGACCTTATGTACCTTGGGAAGATCTTATTAAAGAACTTTATGTGTGTGTTTGGTGTTGTACATAGCAGGATCTGGATTGAGGAAGATGAGTAGACAGGAATTGAGAGAGGGAATAGATTCTTTGTATTGTGCTCCTGTAGGTTGCAGTCGACTAAGTAACCTGTACTATAATTTGGTTTAGTACTTCTTTCTCCTATATAGGTTTCTGTACTCCTAAGCTAAATTTAGTCAACTTAGTCAACTGTTTAGTCAACTGTTAGTCAACTAACAGTTGACTGTTTCAAAAGTCCAGCACAGTGACAGTACCAGACACTGAACACCGAAAATGATTCTCCTGTAGATGACATTGCCAATGGCTGTCAGTAGACAGAGGCAAGTAGTCTGCCTGCTTGTTCTTGTGTATCATTTTGACAGATTAAATGGAGAGATTAAACTTCCGTTTTCTGAGTTTCACAGTGGCCATTGACTTTTGCTCCTTGAAATGCATTTAGGAGCATTATCTCAGGCTTTCATTTTAATATATCCAAATTGACTTTTATTGAGAGTGTGTGAGGCATTGTGTCAGGTGCTGTAGGCGAATACAAAGACGAACAGGTCACTTTGCTGCCCCCAAGGATCCTGAAATCTAATCCCGAAGGCTGGATGTAAACAATGTTCTCAGCACAGCATAGGAAGAACTTCAATTAAATCAGTGCACAAACAGTACCCCTATGAGGACCAGACAGAGAACTGGGCACTTCTGTGAAGGATTAGTGAAGGCCTTGCAGAGGAGATAGCATTTCATTTTCATCTTCAAAGGTGGAAGGGATTTTATTTCGATTGGGGAAGCTGGAGACCAGCAGGACAAAGCAAGGTAAGAAATGAGAGCACAGTAAGCTGGGGGAGAGGCATAGAAGGGGACTAAATGGTGATAAACAGGGAGCCTCTGCTATTGGTATCCTTTCTGGTGAGCATCAGGTTGACCTGTGTGGTTGAATTGCAGGTT